GGGAGAGGGGGGGGGGGGGGGGGGGGGGGGGGGGGGGTTGAAATCCCCTGGTAGTGAAAATTAAGGGAATAACGAAGAATAGTACAAATTATTTTCGAATTAAGCTGGGCTTCTGAGTGGAAAAAAAATGTACCTTTTAAAGTAAACATCACCAATAGATCTGGACAAGGCCAATATACCATTGACACGAGGCACACCACGCTTCTGAATAAAACCACCAGCTGCTTCTATACGGGCCCTTTCATCAGCTCTATCTGGATGATGATCTCTTGTTAGTTCCTGAGCATAAAGTTCCGTTACTGAAGTACCTGATATTCCAAGTGGCATGCCACCAAACAACACATATCGTAAAATGTACAAGAAATACACTTAAGCAAAAAATAACATAAATTTGTTGATCAGTATTCATCATTCTCATAGGGTCCAGTTAATTGTGGGAAACAATAAACAAAACTATAGAAGTGACTTTTAGCAATAGCCAAAAGGATCAGACCTTCCGCATCCAAACGAGACTGAATATTTTCCGAGCATAAGAGTGCTTTTGAATCACCAACAAAGGCAACTAAAATTTGACCATCTAACAAAAGAACAACAGTAGCAGTAGATCCTGAAACATAGTGATTGCTGAAAGCTTCCTGGAAATAAAACAATAAATTGAAAAACAAGATTATGACAACATCTCTGTCAGAAGATTAATGTGCAGGGAAATTTCTTTTTGAACTGAAGATGAACAGGGAACTGACAAAATACTTGCCTTTGAAAATTTTGAGTCAATATCATTGATTGTCCTTAACAATGCTTCCTTCAAAATGCAATGTAGTGATTCATTGTCAACTACTGGGAGTGCTTCCTGAGAACTGCAAAAATCAAGAAGCCTAAACTTAAATATAATTCTACAATTGATCCCATTTTGGAATGTTCAGATCTTTACTACGTGTAGATGCCAGTGAATTATGATGGATACCAGAGTGGTGCAACCATGTGAACTGGTGACAGTTGTCAATTGTGAATAAATTGTATAGATCATCCAGTAGTTCAACAATCAGATACTTGAATGAAATCATGGTGCACATAAGTCAAAAACAAATGTTGTGATCAGAGTTACGGAACAACAACCTATGATTAAAATACTTAACAAGTCTGCATTTTTCATTTTTTCTATCCTTACAATAGTACAAGAACTTAAAATGACAGACCTTAGATTTAAAACATGGTGTGCTGGTTCATCACTATGACCTTGAGAAACCATATCATGTTCTTCCTTGTAGGGCAATGTTTGCTTGTATGTGTTGAATAAAACATGGAGGAAAAAATAATCCAGAAGACTTTTTGAAGCCATCTCACTTGCTTCCTTGCCACCATGACCATCAAATACTGCTGCCAGACCTACTGTAACCTTCTCAGGCCCATATTTACCTGCATCCCATGTCGAGTTTCAAAAAATTTTCTAGTTTTATGCTGCCAACAAATCCTTTTTTAATTTTACAAGAGAGGAGGGTTTGGCAGAAGGATTCACGGATTGAAACCAGAAGCTGTCATTGAATCCCAACTATAACAAAAGGTAGCCACATCAATATTCTGATAAATAAAGCTAGTAGAGTGAAAATTTGAGATAACCTGGAATAGGTATCTTCATATCAAGATTGCATGTAACGAAGTCCTCTTGATATTCCCTATGCCCTTGAAGTGTGGCAAACTGACAATTATCAGTCTGATTTTGATGAGCCTCAACAAGTAGAAGCCACTTCAGGCACTCTGGAGATTGAAAAACAGCAGGGACACCACCTTCATCATATGCCATCATACAGGATACTGACACCCCATGAACAGCAGATGAAATTGCACAGAGAAATAGTCCTAACGTTACTGCGACCTTAAATCCTTTCATCATTGATTGAGCGATCAAACTAAGCTCCTGAAAAGAAAGAAGGATCATATTAATATAACCTGTGTTCAAGCTTAAAACTGAGGAAAATAAATTTATCTTGGTAGAATGCTTTGGAAACATTACTCTCGATTTATTATGAATTTTCCAAACATAAAGATTGCAAACAATTGCGTATAGAGAGCATAATATCATACTCCAACGTAACACTTCAATGTTGTTTTTTTTTATCTACGAAACACAACATTACCTAATTTCTCAAATGCAGAATATAATATTCATATAATTATGTTAATTACTGAATGGCTCAGTTCTTTTTTTTTTTTTTTTTTGTATATGAAACTAGGAGTTTATTAATTTCAAAAAATATGTACATACTTTTAAAGCCAGTGGGGCTAATTGCTTCAAATACGAAAAAAAATTACCACTACCAACATATTTGGCCCATAGTTACCAAAATTTATTGAACTCCTAACAAACCACGATCTTGGTACATCATTACCAAATAGAGTGGATTTACAATCCAAATCACCAAAATGTATAACCCCAAATTATAATACTAACCCTAAATTGATTTGTTTTGGAATATGTAACACAAATATAAGATATATATTAACTAACAAAGTGTATGTAAATTTATAATTTTATATTGTTTTAGATATCAAAATATCGAGTAAAAATGTAAGAAAAATGGTAATTAATTTAGTGTTTATGGGTGTTCTAAAATATATAATGTTATATAATAGTGAGAATAATCTAGATAAGAGTTCTAAAACGAATTGCTACCAAAACACCATACTAGCTATATCTACCCCATCATACCTTGTATCTAACAAAGTGTCGTTCTGCGTATCTATACTCATATCATGTACGAAAGCGACCCAAGGTAACATTGATTTAGCCTCCAGATATGCAACTGCGTTAGCAGATCTACAAAACCCAAGAGGCAGAGAAGGAAGCAACTTCCCTTGCCTGTTACTGAATTTGACCAATAAAATGGCCTATATCCGACATATTTTGTTTGTCATTGAAATTAGAGACAATCATACCCTTTGAGTCTTTTTCCGGTATCACCTTGGTTGAACCAGATTCTAACCGAAAATCCAAAGCTACAGAAGCTGCCAATGCCTCCACATGTTCCGGCTGGAGTTTACACAAACTTCCCATAGCAATCCCGCATCACCACTTCAGCTTCTGATTCCTTAATGGAATTGGAAATCGCTCCATCAAGATTGACTTTAAAACTTCCAGAGGAGGGGGAAACCACTGTGTAAGACCATTTAGATCTGGTGGTACCTCCTGTGATGGTTTGGATTGTGAACCTTGGGCCTTTGAGCATTGATGTACTTTTTTGTAATAGGATTCAGAGAAAAATCACTATCTGGTCTGGCAATTTCGTTCCTCCATTCGACCTAGCTTTGTTACGATTAAGCCGCATTGCCATCAGCAAGATGAGAACCAATACAAGAATCAATTATTCGACCATAAACAAATTACATTCTTAAAAAATAAGAGTAAACTAGACAATTGCTTTTCTTAATGCCTTCTTCTATCGAAACAACCATCTTTCCAAAAAGAAAATCACATGATCAGCTCAAATTTGCCCAAACCTCTGTACTTCAATTTTTAATCAAACAAGATCAATAGTGCAAACTGCAAATCAAGATTACACACACACACACACACTCACACATATATACATATTTCCATGAAGAACATAATTGAATTCGCTACTTCAAAATCTGTAGTCAAGAGCAATATGGTTTTATTACTCCAGCAGAAAGAAGGCAAAAAAAGAATATCAAAATTCACTGACATGAGAATCATGTGCTCCTAAATCCTAATGCATTCATACGTGTGTGTGTGAGAGAGAGAAAGAGAGAGAGAGAGAGAGAGTACCTAACATCAGGCGTTTCGGAAGCGATCTAAAACAAGCGACGAGAAGCTATGTCAACTGAAGTTAACCACTAATAAATACCCTTCGACGAGAAATCACCCTGACCCGAACCGACCCCAAAAGCCCAAAAAGGGCAGTCCACCGTAGGGCCCTGGTGACCAATCAGATCCTGCCCCGTCAGATTGTTAATTAACACGTCATTAATTGACAATCCAAGGTCAAACAATTTATTTTTCCCCCTTTTCTGCCTACAAGGAACAGGCGAGGGGATTTGCTGCAATTCTACAAAATCTACTAACCTTCTTTTCTAGCTTATTTGTAGATTCTCCCTCAATTTCTCGTAATGAAAGATATGCATAAACGGTATATAATAGACCTACTTATATATTAAGTTATCTATATAATAAAATACAATATAATAAATTATTTTTATTTTTCGGGATTAAAATCGTTTTAAATTTTACTTTAAAATTAATCTAACAGTTAATATCAAATTTTTAAATTTAATAGAAAAAATAGACCTCATAAGAATGTGTTTGTGTGACTTTTCAAAAATATTTTTACGATTTATAATTTCTCATAAATATTTTTTTTATAAAAAAAAAACATTTAGAACAACTTATTTAAATTACTGCTAAGTAAGTTAAAAGTAATTTTTGTCATTTAAATAAGTAAAAGTAAAAATATAATAATAATTTATACTTCTTTAAAATCAATTTTTTACAAAACACTTTACCATCAACATTGTTGCTGCCACCCACCACCACCACCACTACTATCACCCCATCATCACTACTACCACCACCCTCGCCACCATGTCATCCCCATGTCCAACACCGTCACTCAACGCTCCCATCACTATCGTTGCTCACCACAACTACTCACTACCATAACCAATCACCACTGTCGCCACTTACTGTCACCCACCCCCACCATACTTACCACTATTATCCGTCATTGTCCATCACAGTCGTCGCCCACTGTCATCTACCACAATCATCGTTATTTTCCACCACCCACCACCATTGTCGCCCACAAAATACCTGTCGTCGCCCATCACCACAATCCACCACCTTTATTGTTATTGTTCATTATCGCTGCCACCACCATCACTGTCAACCATTTTTATTGTCGCCCACCACCATCCACACCCATTTACACCACCACAGTCACCCATGGCTACCACTACTACCATCGGCACCCAAAAATCAACACTACCATCGCCATTGTTGCCCACAGTTGTCACCACTACTACGGGTGTTGCCGTCCACAACAATCATCACCCTCCCCCACCATCACAATTACCACTATTCACCCCACTACAGACTGGTGTTTAAATTTTTTTTTCTCTCTCTTTTATGTTTATAATTTAATTTTGAGTGTAAATACAAATATATTTATGATTGAAATTTTTTTTTATTACTATGTACCTTCAAACAAAGACAGTAATTAGTACTTACATAAAGAATAAATGATCGACCATTGAATAAAAATTTTAAAAATATAATAGAGAACATCTTAATCTCAAATTTATCTTACACTCACCATTTGAAACTTGAGGGAGAAATTAGCCATGAAACCCGTCACTACCAAATAGAGTGATCCACCGAGTGTGACTATCTCAATTTACTAAGAGAGTGTTTGTTTCATCGGACTATGGTGAATTAGATCCGAAATACAATAACCGAATTAAAAAAAATTATGAAAATAAGATATAATCTTTATCAGGTCGAAAACTTAATTATATTTCCAAAAATTTCGAAGCCTAGTACAAAATTTTAGGATAAAACTAAAAGCAATATGAAACACAGATGTTACAAGCACATGCTCACAGGTTTATACACTGGGTAGTATACAATAAAGATATACATTTCCCATGCCATGAACATTTTTCTTTTTTTCTTTTTTTCTTTTTTTCGTTTCTTCCTCTTCTCATGGTTCAGGGTTCATGGCTGTTTACACGGCTATGAAGTTCCAGCATCTCTTGATGGTTTGGGTCAACTGAGAGAGCAGCTCGACAATCTCGCAGGGCACCCAGAACATCGCCAATGTGCTCATGGAATGCAGCCCGTAGATGTAAAAGGTGAAGGTCCGCTTTGAATGCAATTGCTCTTGATAATTCTGCTATGGCTTCCTTCTCCTCGTGATTGTCCATCAAAACTGTTACAATCAACAATTCCACTTCAATATCAACCTAAAATAAAATACTTTCTTAGTTACAATAATGGTTACTGCTAAAGCACTTTGATCACTATTAACATAGACTACAAACACAACTCAAAAACTATCATCCAACTAGGCAGCTCTCATGACCCTCTGATTGTCTTAACTGCAATAAGTATTTAACGGTAATTATGGATCAGAAGGTCCAGATTTATGGACAATTCCTAGGAGTAATATTCGAATAATTATGCATAAAAAAGAAAAAGTCAGATAGTTGCCACAAAAAAAAAAAAAAAAGCAAAAAAGCAAACAGTTTCCTCACAGCATAATCCTCACCCAAAACATCATCCCTCTTTATTTTCTTACTTTCAGATGATAGAAGATGAAATTATTAAACTGAAAGCACAACTAGAGATTCTTCAAGCCAATTAAGAAACGGAGAAAACCAAGGGAATACTTGAAAGAACTTTTGTGTGCTCATTTAAGATTCCAAATTTCACTCCTTATTATTCTTCACATTCCTTAACTTTGCAGATATCTTCAAGAGAATCAAGCAACAAGAAATAACTACAATATCAGGGAATTGTCCAGTCCAAGGAAGGAAAACCATACAGCCGGTTTCTGTTATAGTAAAAACATGACACAGCACACACCCCCATGGTTCAAATAATTTAACTCTTTCATCAGAAGTTCAATTTCCCAGAACCTAATCTGCTTGTTTAGGATTAGTTTTATGCTTGATGTTCTTCAGGAAGACAAACAGAAAACAGAATTGAAGAAGAAAAATCTTACCTGCAGCTCGGTATCGGTAAGGGTAAACCCGGAGAGGATCTAAACAAGTGACCATCTCTAGATCCCCCTTTGTGAGTTCACGTTCACAGTACTCTGACCTCTTCTCATAGGCAGATGCATTATTCCGAGCCTTCTCAATTAATTTGGTCATCTCCTCATAAGCAGCATTCTTATCATTTCTAAGGAAATGCACACGAGCAAGGCCTTGGTGGGCACGGGTGTGCCGGATTGTAAGGGCATTAATATAGCAATCGGCTGCCAAGTCGAGTTTCCCACAGTCAACATAAACACTTCCGAGATTGTTCAGCGCCTGCCCATATTCAATGATCGGGAGAGGATTAGAGAATGTTGGATGTGTAAGTGTCTGATGCATCTCTATTACATCATTCAAGAAACATATAGAAGGTATGCGCTTCTGCATATATCCAACGGGCAAGTTAAGCGCCCAATATGTAACTTATATTATTATTTCTAGACGCTAAAATTTTTAATCAGCAGTTCCAGTCTGTATTTTTGAACAACTTGTTTTCATTTGTCTTCAGGAAGGCTCACAACTCAAGAATCAGTCACTTTGAAGGTCACAACACCCAGTAAGTTAAATATTGTTTGGGCTATGACCCTTCTAAACAGGTGCAGTCTAGGTAAGCATGACAAATATTTAGGCAGAATGAGATAAGTGAACCCAAAGTAATTATCACGTTTCCAGTGATACTGTGGTTAACAGTGTGACAAGGTAATAATCTCATGATAATTGCATGGGGTTCGATTCAGATTGCCAAAAAATAAAATCATGAAAAAAGGAGGAAAATTCTAAAACCCACGATACACATCATCAACACTGAAATTAGTAGTTATGTACCCAGTCAATATAAAGAGATAGCTGGTGATTCCAAACCAAAAAACAATCATGTTAACTGTTAAACTACCTTATTTCATAATGGGCAGCCAGTAATCGTCAGATATCATCATATCTGTCACGTGTTCAATGATATATCAAGGAAAATGCAATTATTATTCCCTGGTACCACACCATTGGAAGTAGGAGTATAACTAGGCCATGCAAACAGGGTCCCTTGGCATCAGTAGCCCAATACAAGCAGAATGATGCACTGTGCTGTAAACTGTGTAGTATTTGATTGAAGATGCTATTAACACAGTGCAAGACATTGTATAAGACATGATATCCATTTTCTATATGAAAGTTGACAAGTGACAACTTGGAAGGTTGTTTAGATGCAAGGAGAATGACAGTTATCATCTGATCCTATACAAACCACATGCAGCCAGCTTGGTTTTTTCAAAAGACATCTTAAATGATCACCTTAATTGCCTTGAGTAGTTGTCCTATTAGCATTAAGTTGACCATAGGATTGTGGTAAAAGCCTGAGGCTCCCCAATGACTTTGTGCTAATAATGAAGAGAATTAAACTTGTACCCAGGCTACCCTTACAAACAACCTAAATTCGCAGAAATATTCTAGGTAATTGACCATTAGCATTGTAGATGCCACTTTGTGTATATAATGCTGATAATTAATTTGATTCATTATCTCACTCCCACTCTTACTCACCTAATTTGACTCATTCTGTCTTTCCATGAAACTCCCACCAAGGAATCAAAGACCAGGGGAAATGGGCTTTTAGCTTTGTAGTCTGTCATATGTTTCTTGCTTTGGATGGGTAAAATTGCATAAATCTATCCAGTTTTAATCTCCAGGCTACGAATGCAAGATGTGTTACTGTCAGCCATCACGATTCAGATAGTGCTCCTTGAAAACCCATTGATACTCTGGATGTCCATTTTATCTCCTATGCAGGAAAGTAGGGGGAATCGATTTTAGGCTTATGAACAATTATCAAACAACATTTTAGTCTGAATTCTGCAACTACTATAAATCACTGGGTTTGTGTTGAGGTATGTACACTTCACGTTCAATGACATGGTACTTATTCTTTTCTACTCTCTCTACTGAGAACTTATTTAGGCTGTGAGAAAATTTAGTAGCTTAAAAGTTCAAGCTACATCAGTGTGGGTCTGGTAAGTTGTAAATTTATTACTTGTTTCCTTTAAGGTTCCAATTTATGATAATAAAACTCGAAATATTGCTTCAGTCAAATTTGCTTTTGAAGAGAATACATTTAAGATCTCTGAATCTAATACTTTATAATCAAGCCTCTTAGTGCACTTTTCTTAAAGAAAACAGTTGTCTTAAAATACTGTTAGAATGAAGAGACTTCTCTGATATCTAATGCAGGCTACATCTGCATATAGTTACCCATAGTGGAATTAGCAGAGAATCCAACCCTGATCTTAGGTCTGTGGCTCGACTCCTTTTCTACTATCCCACTCCACCTTACATTATAAAAAAAGAAAAGAAAAAGGTCATTACACCCATTAATGTTGCGTGCTAAGAATGGCAGAAGAGACATAGACCTACTTTTGGCATTGGTTGCACAAAACAACTACTTGCAATCTCAGACTTAATTCTTCATTTTTCACTTATTCTGTTTTTTTTTTTTTTGGGGGGGGAGGGGGGACTCAATTCTATGTACTAAGCACAATGCTCGAGGCTCCTAACATTGCGGGGTTTGGGAAGGTTAGAGCTACACAACCTCACCCCCATGCAACAGGCTATTTTCACGTTGTACTAAATCTTAGGAGGTTATTATAAAACACAAAATCTTAAACTTTTACCTCTTCTGCTATATTATTGAGTTATGATTTGTTTACAGCTTTCAAACTATCCATCTAGCAGCAAGAACTCATCTTCCTGTCTTTGTGAAGTAATGTGAACATAAACCCTTTACATGGCACTAGTAGCTTTGGAAACTTATTACTTGAAAGGCTTCTAGTTTCATTTTGTATTATATAATCGCCTCATTGAGACATCTACTTGGTGTCAATAGATTAGCAACAATTTAAGGTCAATTGACTTCAATGTTGCAGCCTTCTCAGGTAGAAGAAAAACCATACCTGACCTTTGCGAAGCCTATCTGAAGGACACTTCAAGGCATCTTCAAGAAGTGATACAACAGTAGAAGAACAAGCTGGATCCTGGCTGGAGTCAGCCAAAGCATAAGCTTTCAGGAAGAAGGCCTCAAAAGATCTCTGGAGGCTAATAGACTCCTCTGCTTTCTGTAGCCCCTCTTCACAATGACCAGTATCATACAAGATCCATCCCTCATAAACCAAACGTTCATGTTCACTTGATGCATGCTGACGAGCCAACTGTAAACTTCGCATGGCTGCTTCTGGACAGTTCAATCTGATAAAGCATAACATAAGGTTACAATCAGGTTTTATCCCATTGCTGCAATTCAACGCGTGAATGATATTAAGCATAACATGCAGTTACATATCTCCCTGACATCTCCAATGCAGGGACTTTTTGTGAAGGGAGGGTGTTAAGTTGTACAGAATGAGGAAGAGATCATGATTGTCTTATGAAACAATAGGAGACTTATAGCAAGTGCCAAGTAGTAACACTTCCCATTTTGGATAGGCCAACAAAATCACTAGGGGTGCAAACCAGCGACCAATAGATGCATTCAGGAAATAAAAACCAGTTGTTGCCTTACTTAGAATTAAAGAAAATCAGAAATATAAGTTGGAATTTAAAATCAAGCCCCAAATGTCTGCCTTTGGCATGCGGGTGCACAAGGTGCACGAGAATTACATAATTTGTGTCTAGGAGAGCAATGTCAAGTGAAGCTAGTCATAAGATAAATAGACAATTAAAGTGTCTCATTATATCAATATGTTCTTTATAGTAAAAGAATAAAGAATGTAATTACCATTTACTATGGGTTACCCAATAAAAATGCACATATACATTCTTCAACACATTTTCAGTCATACACAAGCATAGGTGTCACGTTGATAAAGAAGTCTTCAGCAAAGCCATTGGAGAGAAATAACATAAATTGATAATTTGGAAGTAACAATAAATTTCAGGATTTGACAATAAATACAATATAAAATTACTACTTTTGAATATTCATGGAAAATAATGACTTACACTCATAAGACCTGGGGAAGAATTGAAAAAGAGACCATCAACTTACTTTTGCTTCTAACTAAAACCCCAAGTATAGCCAAACATCAGGAAGAAGTAGAATAACTGGAATATACCTAAGGAGAAGCAAAGACTGTCTAAAGTAAAGAACTCCTTTCGGTGCATCAGACTCGAGCATCTGGTATATTACAGAGAGGGATCCAATATCATCAACCGAAGACCATCGATCATACAATTGGAGCCAACAATCTGCTGTTGTCCAGTTCTCAACATGTTCACGCACAAGAGTACAGAACTGAGATGCTGCAACTCGTCCCTCAAACATCCTATAATCAGGGCAAAGCGTAAGAATTGCTTGAACATCGCAAATTGCTGAATTGTAGTCCTCGAGAGCTAGATAGAAACCAAACCGTAGTTCCAAGCATTCTAAAGCAAGTTTGAACCCAAGAACACGATTAATTTCTGCCAGGGCATCTTGAACATTTTGTTTCCTCATCCAGAATGCAGCTCGATACATGTAAGGGTAAATAAGGGTTGGGTCCAACTCAGTTGCTTTCACAAGGTCTTCCCACCTCTCATCACCATCACAGTAGAGTGACCTCTCCTGATGCATCCATCCGCGTGAAGTAGAAGAGGAGATTACAGAACTTAGTTTCTCATAAGACCAAAGTTTATGGCCCCTAATGTGACCCAATCTAGCTAATCCAACAACAGAATATGCATGGCCTGCATTTAGAGCGACCTCAAAGAGCTGCTCAGCCTCAGCATATTCTTTCCTCAGGAGTCTAACACATCCCAACTGATGATATGCCACCATTTTCTCCCGGGTAGTTTGAGCAGAGTCTACCAACTGTTCCAAGAAAAGAGCTGCTTTATCTGATTTGGGCTCTAGGTGCATGGCAACTTCACTTAATAAACAGTAGAGTGAAAATGAGGCTGGCCCAACCATAATTGATCTCTGTTGCCGGTTAGCATTGCTTAATAACTCAACTAACTTGCTGTCATTCAAAGAGTCGGGAAGTTCATGTAGAAACACTTGCAAACATGATGCAGCAAGGACAGGGGAATTCTCTTCAAGAGCATATTCCATAAGTTCAACTGCATCTTGTATAGATGAAATCAGAGAAGCAAGTTTCCTGCCACATGCATCCTTGAGCCTTTCACAGCAAAATTTGTTGGCAAATACCAAGATTTCCAACAGTATTTCTGGGGTAACTTCATTTAAACTGCCTGTCTGGCTGAACTCACTGATCACCCTCATACTTAAAGGGGAAATATCATTTTCAGACAAATCTATCTCCTCACAACTTGATTCTGTAAAACAGCCATTTAGCATGGCATGAAATGGAGCTGAAAGTCCCGCAATCTTCTGCCTGTGACACTCGATTTTCTCATCTCCGATATGAAAAGAGACAATTGTTGAAAGATTTTTCCTAAATGGTTCACTAACTCTAGGAGAACCTAAATATACATCAGTGGGTAGTTCAGAGGCCATGTCCATCATCCCAAACTCCTTTGCACATTTGCCACAAGAAGAAAGCAAGTCAGATATAAGCTCTTCACCTTGCTTCTCATACTTTAACCATGCCCCGAAGACAAGTTTCTGGTGGATGGTGCTTGCGTTCAGCCAACCCGAGTGAAGGCTTCTCCGCATCAGTTTGGCTTCACCGAGGCCTTTAAAGACCTGAAACTGCAACAAGTAGAGATTCGACCTCTCATGTGGAGGGCACAACTCAAGTTCTTCGTGAATTTGAGCTAAAACTTCTACATAATCAACAGGTTTAAAGAATGGGAGAACCGGTGGCTCTGGGACCTTGATCAGTGATTCTCTACAAACAACATAAAAATGAAATTTATATATAATTTACAGTTATGAAACATTTGCAATGGTTCAAAATGAACAAAAAAACAAAAAAAGCTTACATGGAAGATGGGGACTGCGATGAGAATTTGGAAAGCTTCCCTCTTTCAACTTGGAGCCATGATTGTGGATCGATAGCATTAAGATCTGTTTCTTTACAAGAATCAGAAGGAAAGAAAGTCTTCCTCATGGGACATAACAGATGAACCAAGATCTCCACAGTAGCCAGATGAATTTTCTCTTCAAAATCAAGAACAACAACAGTAAAATAAAACTAGATCCTCTACTTCACAATCCCAAGCCTAAGCTCAAAAAACTTCTAACCCACGAAGCAGCAAATTTGCTGAAGTATTGCAAAAAAATGCAAACTGAAACACTCACAGTCCCGGTTTGGGTTTCTCTCAATGAATCGTTATCCACCCCAAAAGTTACAGAGAGAAGAAAAGATTCTCTATTTTTTTTTGACAAAAGTTTATTGATTAACTATACTAACAAAACAACAAAGATTTTTGCAATCACGGGCATCCAAATCTAGGTTGTTTCTCTTATACAAAAATGGCAAAATAGAACTTTCTATGCTCTACTTTCGTGCTTCAAATTCAACAGAAATGTGAAGTCTCTTCAGCATAGAAGACAACAATAGACCACAATAGGCCAAACACCCACCAAAGATTCCATAAGATCTCTACCAGAAAAACAACCAAAACCACATAAAGCCCAACTAATCTCCTAATAACAAACTCATACAAAACCAAACAAAACCAGAGACAGAGAGCCACTAACCTTGTTTGGAATGTAATCACTAGAAAACTTACCCAAATGAGACCCCAAAACCAAATCAAAACCAAACCCACTAATTTACTGGCTTGAAATTTCAACCCAAATCACAAATTCGGAAACAAAGCTGCAGAAAGCGTGAGATCAAAGTGAAAGTGCCCGAAGGAAAATTCTACTTCCTTGCGTTTGGTAAAAGGAAATGTTTTTTTCTTTTTTTTTTCTCTGTTTGATTTTCTTTCTTTATCATTAGTCTGCCCTGTTTGCCGTTGGACACCAGAAAAATTACAGCTACTGTTTGTTGGGAGTCCAAAACAACAGTTTGATAAAATACAAGATTAGTATTGAAATGATTTGTTAATTTGGATTTAGTTGCGGAGAAGACGCTGGTCAATAAGGTATTTATCCGACGCCGTACCGAGGGGATTCACTTGTCCCCCCACCAGAGATTTGTCTTCGCCAAGTTTGAAATTAATGACGGGTTACATTATGGTTAGAAGAAAATAAGAATTTGAGAACATTACATTTTAATTATCATCAATAGTATTGAAATTTAATTTATTAACTTAATTTATTATAATTTTTAAATTAATTATAGACTTTATCAAATATTAAAATTTATTATTAATTTAGTAATTTCTCTTTAATTATACACTTGAGCCATCTCTGATAGTTTGCAAATAATGAGTGTAAATTAAGAATAGTTTAAGTGGTAATATGAATAACTTGTAAGCTCTTATGTTTTGAAATCAAATTTCAAGGTGTTTTTAAGCTGGCCGAACTCCTTTGACTTTTAGACCAAAAAAAAAAAGAGAAAATTAAAAATGACTCCCCTTAGATGTACTTGTTTGGAGATAAGCCCTACAAGAAAATTTATAAAAGGCTAAGTTCATGTTTAAAATTATATATAATGACTTAAGTCTACCTTTTTTTTAATTTCAAAAATACCCTTCCTTGAAATGAAGTTAATTTTTTCTCTCTCATACTTATCTATATCCATATATAAGTTAAGAGTTTGACTAATATTAAAATTTTTCCTCCCTCTTATTTATGTATATTTATATATAGGTTAGGTATATATATATTAACATTAAAAAAAATAGTAACATTCAAATACAAAAAAAAAGTTACTATAAATTTGAATAGTAAAATTCAAATTCATGTTACTATTTTTTTTATTATGTTAATGTTTTTGTTGAGTATGTTACTGTTCATATACTATTATTTTTGAGCATGTTACTGTTTTTGTTGACCATGTTACTACTATTATTTTCATAAATATTAATATTTAATGTTATTTTTTTTATATATATTACTATTTTTTGTATTTGAATGGTACTATTTTTTGCGTTTGAATTTAAGAGAAATAATTATTATTAAGTATGTTACAGTTTTTGTTATGCATGTTACTATTTTTGTTGAACATGTTAATATTTTTGTTAAACATGTTACTGTTGTTATTTTTTAAAAATATTAATATTGAATGTTTCAATTTTTTTTATGTTTAAATGTTATTATTTTTTTATGTTTAAATGTATTAATTTTGTGTCCAAATGACAACTTTTTTTTATATTTGAATGTTACTATTTTTTATTTTTAATGTTACTCTCTCTCTCTATATATATATATAAGAGGAAAAATTTTAATGTTAATCAAACTCTTAACCTATATATGGATATAGATGGATATAAAAGTGAAAAAATTTTAATGTTAGTCAAACTCCTAAGATTTAAGAATTTTTAATTTTTAATTTTATTTCACTTATAAATGGAAAGGGATAGTATAGTAAAATTGATAAAAAATAGATTTCATAATAAATAAGTGTCTTTAACGGACTTAAGTCCAAACAAGTCTACATAGGGGGACCGACCTCCAAATTTCCTCCCAAAAAAAGGAAAATTTGGAGGTCAGTATCCCCTATACGAACTTATTTGAAAATAAGTCCATCAAGAAAACTTATTTAATTTTAAGTCCGTTTTTTGTCAATTTTACTATTGTAATATTTTCTTATAGAAATGTTATAAATGACATTTATGGACACAATAATCAATCATATACATATCCTTCATAATCGCTTTCAAATTCAGCTACAAGTTTCCAAGCCACAATATTTTCTTATCCGAAAAACAAAAATTGACTTTTACCAAAAATCGTTCATATTCAAATTTCAAACCCATTACATTCCATAAAATACAATTTCAATTTACTATTTCAGTTTACTTTGAACCGCATCGATAAAATATTAATATTTAAAAAATAACAATAGTAACATACTCAACAAAGATAGTAACATGGTCACTAAAAAAAATAATTACATGTTTACAAAAAAAATAGTAATATAGTAAAAAAGTAATAACAATTAGGGATTTAATTTTGTCAAAGTGGGCATTAACCTTGTGACCAAGATTCAATAGAACTCATACATCAGTACTAAATTAAAGTGTTATAAATTTTGATTTTGTTAATTTTTTTGTTGCGCAAGACAATCGAGTATTTCTTAGTTATGTTACTGTAGAAAAAGTTCATATTATTGTACGTGAACCAAAAAAAGGAGTTCAGAGTTTTGGTGTCTTAATATTCACAGTTGGTGTTGAGTGTTGTAATTCAACTATCAATTATATGTTACTACTTGTCATTTTGTAAATTTTTAATTTGTGGATCATATTTTCACTAAAATTATTCAAAAGTTAATGTTACTGTAAAAAAATTATTGTCTTACATTTTGTAAAATTAGATGTATTACTGAGCACAAAATTTTAATGTTACTATGAATATTAAAGTGTATGTTACATAATATACATCTCAAAATTTGTAATTGTAGGTTAAAATTCACTATAGTAACACGATTGTACTAATAACACGACCGTATTAGTAACACGACCTTAATTGTAACTTCAATCATATAGTAATATGAATGTTATTATATATTAACATTCGTGATATTAAACTCTGTTGGCATTGTTCAGCCTTCTTATACTATGCGTTACTGTTGTTAATGAAATTTTGTGATCTGATTTAGACTTAATATACCAACAATTTTATTGGTACATTAAACTTCTCATATATAACTATTAGAATATATAACTTTCATATAAAACTTCTGTTAATTATTATAATATTTAATAAACAGTTTTTATATATAACTCAATCAAAAGTTTTCATATATATCTCAATGATATAACTTATGTGATTTTTCATAATTGGACAAAATTAACACCGTTAGAAATAATTTTGAAATTTTAAAAATAAATAGATTTAAATATCTACAAATAAGTTTAAATATGAACTTACCCCTAAACAAGTTTTCTTTCAGGATTCAAGTGATTATAATTCTATCTAGGAAGACTCACCTTCAATTTTCACCAAAAAAAAAAAATTGACAATGAAAACCCAATTAGCTATTTTTAATGAAAAATAACATTTTTTTAATCCAATGGTCAAGGAGTCTGGTTCAGCTTAAAAAATAACTTATTTGCCACTTGTTAATAAAAGATTGCTAATTAGATCAAATCTAGTGATTTGGTCAAATTTATCGTGTCATCAAAAGTGATACTTCAGTACAACAAAAGAAGGGGAATGCTACTTGAACTTAAAATGTTGATTTAAAAAATGTATTTGATAATTATATAATTATCAAATTCACTTTTTAGTAGAACTACGACGGGACATATATATCATCAAGTTCTTTTCCAATTGTTTTATCCATAAATATTTTTATTTGTGTAATTGAGAATCATCTCAATCACACATTTATTCAATTCATGGTTGCAATGTAAATTTCATATAAATAAAATTATATATAAAATACATGCATCAATTCAACCAGAAATTGATACAAATAGAGGACTAATTCTATTGCGCCTGTCATTCGACCTTTTCATCCAACTTGTGAAGGTTTTACCTATGAATATTTATCAACATTATTGATGTCATACTTTTTGACGAATTCATATTTCACTAATGGACTTGACTATGACACCAAAAAAAAAAAAAAATTAATAACGTATCTCTAAAATTTATTATTTTAAATAATATTTTTATAATTTTTGTGGGTCATTTTATAATTAAAAAATTATCAATATTGTAGTTATTTTTATCACTGTTGTAACTATTTTACTACTTTTTTTTTGGTACAAAAAAATGTACTACTGTTATGTTATGAGTGATTTTACCACTTTTATGAGACTTTTTTACCACTATTGTGATAACTATTTTTATTATTTTTTATCGGTATCACAAATATTAGTTAAAATGCTCACAATAATGATTAAAATACCCATAAATATATTAAATTTTGGTGTAATACCGAAATTTTATTTTTCGGTATCGGTGACAACTTCATCAGTAATATCACATGGGAAGATTGCTATTTATTAACATAAATGATATCAAAATGTTAAACTGATAAAATTATGAGTAGAATTACACTGACTCAAAAAAGGGACAAAAAAACATAAATTAAATTATATAACATCACAATAATGAGATAAATTTGAATTATATATATATAAATGTGAAATAAATACCACCATTATAATAATATATCATATTATTTAATCCCTATTTTTTTTTTTTTATCATCCTAACATCACTCTAAAATTATTGGTATTTTTTTTACCAGATAGATTAATGGACAGCTAGGTTCTGTATATTTGTGGAAATTAAAGAGGATGAGAGCTAACGCCATCAAGCACTTATTTCATGCCAATCATCATCAGATGGTTTGACCAGATTAACACCTACTCCATTCACCCATGTTTACCCTATTAAGTATTAACACAAATCAAGTCTCTTGTGTAATTAGGGGTGAGAAATGATCCGAATTACTAGGGTTCAACTTGACACCGGCTTATTTTTGAGCTTGACTTAAGCTCAGCTTGTTGGATCTTTGTAGAGTCTAGTTTGTGTGTTGATTCAGATAATGATCCGACCTGAAATAATGTTATGTGGTTTTTAATAGGAAATTTTCTGAGGTGGCCCAAGCCTTCGCTTCATGGACAAGCTTTGTGGGAGTTCGGGGTCAACGCTCCAAAGAAAAAAAAATTTGGTTTGTTTTGTAATCCGGTATGCAGGACATATAAAAACAACTATTTTAGTGTTTAGGGTTTGATTGTAATTGAAAATTGTCCTCTGTATTCCGCACTCTCGATAATAAAATCCCTACAGCTTTGTGGACGTAGGTAAATTATCGAACAACGTAAAATCTTTGTGTCGTTTTTTTTTCTTGTTTCTTATTGTTTTATGTTATTAGTTTGTTCTTTGATTGCATGTGTTTGTCTGTAGGTTTAAAGCGTGTTAAAT